AAAAAAAAAGTATAACAAAATTGCAATTTGAATTGTAGAGCGGAGCTAAGTGTCCCCCTGATGAAGGATTGTTGTTGTCTATGCTTTTGAAATTAATGAATGCCCAGAAGACGTTGGAGATTGGTGTTTTCACTGGCTATTCTCTTCTTACCACTGCCCTTTATTTAGTTAATTTTTTTTTAATAAAAAAAAATTATAACAAAATTGCAATTTGAATTGTAGAGCGGAGCTAAGTGTCCCCCTGATGAAGGATTGTTGTTGTCTATGCTTTTGAAATTAATGAATGCGAAGAAGACATTGGAGATTGGTGTTTTCACTGGCTATTCTCTTCTTACCACTGCCCTTGCTTTACCTCATGATGCCCAGGTTTGTAACTCCCTCTTTAAATTGTAATCAAATTTAAATCAAGCCCAAAAGAGTTTGTTAAAAATTTGCTTTTTAACATTTTTAAATCAGCAAGTTGTCATTCCAATTAATCCATGCCCTTCATCTAAAAATGGCATGGTGGAGTTATTATCATAACCACTTAAAATATTAAAATTATCTTGACCTTTCAAACCTCTTTCTTGTGAGCAGAATGGAATACTTGTGACCATGTTTGTTTCAAACTTTTTTGTTTTTGTTTTTGTTTGCATTTGCTTTTTTTGTGGGTCTATTTTTAGTCAACTAGGCCAAGTTACAAAGGATGACTTAGATTACATGGGATCATTAGTTTTGAAACTAATAATTTTGGAATTACCAATTTTTTGGAACAACATTGCTCGAAACACCCAAAACGATGTCATTTTGGCTCGAATAACTCGAAACACCCAAAAACATGGCTCGAATAACTCGAAACACCCAAAATGACGTCATTCATTTTGGGTGTAAAACGACGTCGTTTTGACACATTCGAGCCATTCGAGTCACAGAAATTCAGGCCACCAAACATTTTCCTTTTTGGACTTATGTAGCTTATTCCACGTTGGAATGTTCCTGTATTAGGAAGGAATTATGTAACATATTCTATTTTTGTTTGAAATCCTTAGACATTGATTACATAATGCGATGACCATGTTTGCGGGTATTTTGGTCTTTTAAACTCATAATTTGGATTCCTTACTTGGTCATTTTGTATCCTTCTCAGTGGGACTCAACAATTCCCAATATGAGGGATATACAATTCAGGGGAACGATCAATCCTGAGACGCCTTTTATATCCAAATATGATACAAGATTGATCAAGATACAAAGTCTAACCTCATGGTCATGGTCTTATCTCCAAAACAAAAACATTTTTTTTTTTTGTTGGGGAAGGAGTTCCATAATGAGGTAACTAGGACAAGTACTTGCTTAATATGAGAGACTAAGTTCTATTGGGATTTAAACATTTCAAGCTGACAAAGATCCTAATTAACTACAATAGAAAACTAGAATTTATGTTTTTCTTGTTCCCTCATAAAATGATGTTAAGATTCCAATATAGACATAATCAAAATCATTCTTTTTGTTTTCATTATTATTATTATTATTATTATTATTATTATTATTTTTCAACAGATAGTAGCAATAGATCCAAATCGAGAAGCATTTGAAGTTGGACTGCCATTCATTCAGAATGCTGGTGTGGAGCACAAGATCAATTTCATAGAATCAGATGTTATTTATGTTCTCAATGAAATGTTGAGCAATGTGAGTTTTTAATTTTAAAGCCTATTTTTATTGCATTGACCAGTGCAATTACACACAATTAATAATTTCACATTGTAAAATTTACTATTTGGGAGTGTAAAACATTTTCCCAATTTGATCTTCCATTCTTTGCCAGCATTGTTAATCTCATTTTTTCTGCCAATTTCCTATAAATCTCTGACTAACATGCTTATATACAATGTCGGCTCTTAAACTTGGGAACTAATTATATGAATTATGTATATATGGCAGGAGGGTACGTTGAAAATGGAGTTTGATTTTGTGTTTGTGGATGTTGATAAGCCCAACTACATTAACTATCACGAGCAAGCGATAAAACTGGTGAAAGTATGAGGCGTTATTGCATATGATAGCACTCTGTGGTATGGTTCAGTTGTAAGCAATGAAGAAGAAGTCCTTGAGTTTCTCTGTATCGGCCGAAAGCCCATAATTGAACTCAACAAGTACTTAGCCTCTGACCCCCACATCGAAATCGCTCAGATTTCCATTGGTGATGGTGTCACACTGTGCAAACGCATACTCTAGATTAGATCATATCATATCATATCATATGAGCTTGACTATATTTGTAATAATTGTTAGACAAACTTCACTGTATTAAGAATAAATTATGTTTGTGTACTTAACAATAAACAGAACACAGAAGAAATAAAGGAAACGAGAGAGACTGTTTGATTACATAAATCAAAACAGTAAATAAAATAAAATAAAACAGCAAGTAAATTAATTACTTACCTAATTAATTTCTCAAACAAATTTTTGATTAAGCCCAATGTTTAATACTGTGTTTTTAAGACAGATTCGTCCTCTCCACGGTGCTTTCAGATTATGGACGTTTATCTCCTAGGATAAAATGATCAATAGTGAATAGTAACAGCACTACAAACTATTCACATAACGAACACACTTTGTGTTTACTCTTTCTCACAAGAAAATAATGCAACAAAATACAGAGAGAGAAATGGTAGAATTGAGGACTAAAATTGGAGTGAAAATCCAAATGAGGGACTGCCTTTATATAAGAAAATCCATGGCTATTCAGATTTGAATGAACAGATACAAGACCTATTTGGTTTTGAATCAAACCTGTTTGGTTTGAATTTGATGAATCCGTTCGGTTTTAAAACATATAGGAACCTATTGGGTTTAAAATTAAACAGACATGCATCTGTTCAAGTGGGAAAAAACTAGACAAATTTTATTTTGTCAAAAAATAAAATAAATTCAAATGTTTTTGGCCCAAAAAAATAAGTATTGGGTCGGACAAGCCCAACCCAACGTCACACCACGCACCCGCGCCAAGCCCAGCCCAGCCCAGCCCGCCTCGGATGGCCGTCTGGCGGAGGTGGCGGCGCACGTGTGTTTATTTTTGAGTCCAATGAGTCTAGCCCACTTTGCGCATAACCTCTCCCTTCTACAAACTTTGGATGCCTTTTGAGGCCCTCCCCAAGTTGCAAACTCAAGCCTTATAAACCCATAAAAGTTTTCCCACCAAACCAATGTGGGACAAGTCTTGAATTTAAACCTTTAAGGAATTTTTACCAAAAACTCCATTTTCGTGGAGCTCACTTTGGCTTCTATTTCTCATGCACCCGATAATGGTTATGAGCAACCAAACATACTACATGAATCACAACGCAGCATAAAACGCATTACCACTTAGACCCGTCAATTTTGGCACATGGGTTCCACCTAAAAATTAGACCAAAGTTGAGAAAAAAACTGATTTTTCCAAAACCATTTCTAACAATCCCCCACATGAATAGAATTTGATGACAAAGGAAATGCAACAATATGTCGAATTTGTCGAAAGAGTATAAATCAAAATTATCTTGCAGCAGGATTAGGGCTGCAAATGAACCGAGCTATTCATGAACAAGTTCGGCTCGGCTCGGCTTGTTTAGTAAACGAGCTGAGCTCGAGCTCGAATATTAGGCTCGTTTAGTAAACGAGCCGAGCTCGATATTCAAAGAGAGAATTAAAGAAAGGAGAGAGACTGTTTGATTACAAAAATCAAAACAATATATATATATATATATATAAACAACAGATTATTGTTTCATTATAAAAACAAAATTAGAATCTGAAAAAGGAAAAAAAATTAGAACATAAAGTAAACTAATTTCTTACTTTATTAATTTATGGAACAAAATTGTTTTGATCAAGTCCAGTGTTTAACACTATGTCCTTAAGACAAATTCGTTCTCTCCACGGTACTTTCAGATTGCAGACGTCTATCTCCCAAGATAAAATGATCAACTACGAATAATAGCAGCACTACAAATTATTCGCACAACAAGCACACTTTGTGTTTATACTCTTTCTTACAAGAAAATAATGCAGCAAAATGCAGAGAAAACAATAGCAGAATCTAGGACAAAAATTCAAGTGAAAAATCCAAATAAGGGACTGCTTATTTATAGATGGAATAGTGGCCTTTCAGTTTGAATTAAATAGGTAGCAAATTTGTTTGAATAGGTACCAGACCTGTTCGGTTTGAATGAATAAATACAAACCTGTTGGGTTTAAATTTTGAACAAATATGCGTTTGAACTGAATCTGTTCAGACCGATAGAAAGGTGCAAGCCAAAATTGAAAATTTCAAACTGAAATTTAAATTCAAGCGATCAGAATTTATTTTTCAAAAAATAAAAAATAAATTCAAATGTTTTTGGTCCAAAAAGAATTACCCAGCCTCACACCACGCACCCGCGCCCAAGCCCAGCCCTCCCGACCAGACGACGACGGTGCGTGTGTTTATTTTGGATCCAATGGGTCTAGCTCACTTTGCCCATAACCTCTCCCTCTACAAAACTTAAGTGCCCCATGGGGCCTACCCCAAGTTCCAAACCCAAGCCTTATAAATCCACTCAAATTTTTCCTATCAAACCAATGTGGGACAAGCCTTAACTCAAACCTTAATGAAAATTTCATCAAAACCACCATTTCCATAGAGCTCACTTTGGCTTCAATTTCTCATTCACTTGATAATTGTTTTGAGCAACCAAACATACCACGTGAATCACAACGCAGCATAGAACGCGTCACCACTTAGACTTGCCAACTTTGGCGCATGGGTCCCACCTAAAAACTAGACCAAAGTTTAGGAAAAAACTTATTTTTCCAAAACCATTTCTAACAATTCCCCACATAAATGGAATTTGATGACTGTGGGGATATATTTTTTGAGTCCCAACACGTGGCCAAGGTGACGCCGACGTGTCAGCCGAGGTGCCACGTGTCCAGGTCATGACGCCGAGGTGATCTCGGCAAGGCCGAGGTTATCTCCGAAGATATCGGAATCCGAGATAAGTGGATAAGGCACAAGAGTCCTAGAATGATGAAGGACTTTAGTGTGGATAAGGATAACACTCTCAGAGAGTTTATCTTTATCTATAGAAGAGTCCTGGATAAGTACTGAACGGAAGTCCACTGAAGCTAGGCTTCTATGGGGACTAGGAGTGAGGTAACTATAGAATAAAGGCACCCCCGATGGGTCTAAGGTACGCAATTGATACTCAGAACAGTGAATTTAGCATTATTGATTATCTTTGAGAGATATACTGACTTGATCGTCGGAGTGCCCCCGGGTGGACGAACTGCCGCCGGAATCTTCTCTTTCTGTTGCAGGTCAGCCAGGTGCCATCTATTCTGCTAGTATTCTCCAGTTGATTACTGAGTTGGCAGTGTGGTCAGAAAATCATTCACACAATTTGGCGCCGTCTATGGGAAAGAAAGGAGAGTAGATGGCTAGTGACGGACAGAAGGATAAGGTTGGGGACGAAACCCTTGCTGGGAATGAAAAACGTGTTGACTTAAACGCGAAGGAAGACGGTTGCAACGAGGAGACTCAGAACCAGAATCACAACAAAAAAGGACGTCGGCCAGGACGACAGCGTACCAAAGAAACTAGAACAAAGTAGGTATTATAACGAGGACGACCTCCAAGGGATGAAAAAGTAAAAGAGATGGCGAACAAATTGGCAGACCTGCAATCGGTCGTCAATTTTATGATGCAAAATAATGTCATGCAGCCACCGTTCCTGCTGCAGGGCACGCCAATTCCAGCGGCTAATACACAGAAGAGAGGGCATAAACCAATCCCAGAAATCCCCGAGCACACAAGGAGCGAAAGACACTCTCACCGGCCTTCAAGGGAGGTCGAACGAGGAGAGTTGAGGAGAGAAGAGTCGCGGAGGACACATCGCGCCAAGGAGGCAGACCCCTAAGAACATCGGCATGTTCAGGGGCAGGCGCTCTGCTTCGACACAACTCACGGAGAAAGATCAAAAAGGACCCACCATGAAGCTAAGAGTAGTATGCCGAAAAAACTAAAGTCAGGTGATAATCGAGCTCCTGGGCGGAGCAAAGAAGACTTGAGAGATTACCTTAAGAGGAAGCAGCAGAATGCCGATGCCGAGGTAACTTCCCCTGATAAGCTGAGAACACCATTCTCGGTGGAGTTGGACAAGTTTGAGGCGCCGAAGAGATTCAGTATGCCAAGGTTCCAAATGTACGATGGTAAGTCAGACCCCAACTTCCACGTCGAATTATACTTGAACTCAATGGCATTGTATAGTGGGAACGAGTCGTTGCTCTGTAAAGTGTTCCCCTTATCCTTCGGGGAGATTGCATCAGATTGGTTCCACAAATTACCAAAGGGAAGCGTGAAGACTTGGGAAGGTCTGGCCGAGATGTTTGTGGCCAGGTTCATGACACACAAGCTGCAGCCATTGAGGGTGGACGCATTGATGGCTCTGAAGATCAGTAAGGATAAAGGCCTTAGGGCCTATGCAAACAGATACTATGAGGTGTTCAACCGAATACTAGAGTGTAATCAAGAGGTGGCAGTCGTATCTTTCAAAAACGGCCTAAAAGATGATTGTCCACTACGAAAGTCTTTGGCAAAGACATTGCCAAAAAGCATGGAAGAGCTCATGGCGAGAATCGAGAAGCATGCCAGAGCCGAGGAAGACACGTCGGGGACTAAGGAGACAAAGTAAGAGAAAGGAAACGGCTCACCAAAGCGAGGCCGAGGTAACAATGGATCAAGCAAGCAAGAGACAGAACTGAGGGCTACACAAGCAGTGACAACTGTGTTCCGAATCCAATTCACAAAGTCCTGGATCAAATTTGGAATCAACCCTATTTCAGAACACCAGCAAAGGCACCAAGAGAATTCATGGAAAGAAACCTTGGCAGGCATTGTGCTTACCACAATGAAAACGGGCATATGACTCAGGGCGGCAGAGCCCTGAAAACACACTTGGAAGACCTGGTGAGGCAAGGCCATCTGAGAGACCTTGTCGATGAGGCCAGAACAAGGGAAGAACAGACAAGACTGCCTCAGGCACTAGCAGCCCGTCTCCCCCAGTACAGCAACCTCAGGCAGGAGGACCTCGGGTAATTAATGTAATTCACTCGAAGGTTAACGAGAATGAAATTAGAGGGGAGACCCAGAAGGTGAAGCACTTGCAGCATGTCTACTAAGTCGGGGAGAAGAGACATCGGGTAGAGGAGTGCCAAGGACCAGTAGTGTCCTTTTCTGAAGTTGACCATGAGACGGTACAACATCCACATAATGATGCCTTAGTATTATCCCTCCAGGTTGGGAAATGCCAGGTAAAGCGCATCCTGATTGACCAAGGCAGCTCTTGTGACATCATGTATGTCCGATGTTACAAGGAGCTCGGCCTTCACCCAGACGATATGGAACAATCCAATAGCCCAATGGTCGGGTTCAATGGAACGCCAACATGGCCACTGGGAATAACCAGCTTAGAGGTGCAGGCAGGCACCAGGAAGATAACAATAGAGTTCACCGTAATCGACACACCCTCCCCTTACAACATCATTTTGGGAAGGCCATGGTTGCATGCAATGGGGGCTGTTCCCTCAACATTGCATCAACTATTGCGGTTCCCAACAGAGCATGGGATTGAGGAGGTCAGAGGAGATCAGTTACAAGCAAAGAATTGCTCCATGGCAGCAATGAAATCCACCTGCAGCATTTGAGAACCAGAGAAGACAAAAATCAAAGACGAGGACGTGGAGGTCCTAGAGGATGTCGATAAGGAGCCAGCCGAAAAGAGTGAAGAGGCACTGAAGAAAATCCTTGTCCAGGAGGGAGATGAAGAACGCTTCTTTCTTCTCGGCTCGGGCTTAGCCAAAGAAGAGGAAAAAGAGTTGGAAGCTTTTTTGAGAGCAAATATTGAGGTGTTCGCGTGGACGCCCTACAAAATGCCTGGCATTGACCCCGAGATCACTTGCCATAAGCTGAACGTTGACAGGTCGGCCAAACCTGAATCCAACGAGCAAGAAGACCAATGTTGGTACACGTCGAAGTAGTGGAGGAGGAAGTAGACAGACTTCTCGAGGCCAGGACCATTCAAGAGGTAAATTACCCAACATGGCTATCAAACACAGTAGTAGTGAAGAAAAAGAATGGTAAATGGAGGGTCTGCGTAGACTTTACCAGCCTGAACAGAGCCTGTCCCAAAGACAGCTTTCTTCTACCCAAGATTGACCAGCTGGTAGACGCCACTTCGGGGCATGGAATGATGAGCTTCCTGGATGCATACAGAGGGTACCACCAGATAGCCATGTACCCCACAGATGAAGAGAAGACTGCGTTTATCACTCCCAAAGGGCTGTACTGCTACAGAGTGATGCCTTTAGGGTTGAAAAATGCAGGAGCAACTTACCAAAGATTGGTAACCAAGATGTTCAAACCCCTGATTGGTGGAACGGTGGAATTTTACATTGATGACATGGTCGTGAAGACCAAAGAACCTGAAGGTCATCTGGCCGACCTAAAAGCAGTCTTTGACATCCTTAAAACATATCGGCTCCGACTCAATGTAGCAAAGTATGCATTTGGAGTGGGATCTGGTAAGTTCTTGGGGTACCTGGTGACCAGAAGTGGCATTGAGGCCAGCCCATATCAGATTAAGGCCATCCTGGAGTTGAAGAGCCCGACGTCAGCAAAACAAGTGCAAATGCTAACTGGAAGGGCTGTAGCCCTGAATAGGTTCATAAGCAGAAGTTCAGACAAGTGCAAACCTTTCTTCAACTTAGTGAAGAAAGCCACAGACTTCCTATGAACTGAGGAGTGTGAAGCCACTTTGGCCGGCCTGAAGAAGTATCTGACTACGGCTCCAGTTCTTTCAAACCCAGAACCTGGGGAGGAGCTGTTCCTATACTTAGCAGTTTCAGAACACGCAGTAAACGCAGTAGTAATCCGAGAAGAAAAAGGGGAGCAAAGGGCTGTTTACTATGTAAGCAAAACCCTGGTCGATGCAGAAACAAGGTATCTAGCCTTAGAGAAATTGGCACTGGCCTTAGTAATGGCTTCAAAGAAGCTGAACCATTACTTCCAGGCCCATAAAATTGTGGTGCTAACTGAACACCCCTTGAAGTCCTTGCTGCAACAAGGAGACCTGACAGGAAGAATAGCCAGATGGGCAGTTGCCTTGGGTCAGTATGACCTAGAGTACAAACCCAGAACAGCAATCAAAGGCCAAGTTTTGGCCGACTTCGTGGCGGGGTTCACGCCAAAATCCATCGAACATCGGGCTCCGTTGAGCCAAGGTAAACAATGTCCAAACAAGCAAGGAGGAACCCAGCCAAAGGTGAAAGAACAAAGCAAAGAGGAAAAACTCAGACCCTGCAGCATTTACATCGGCGACTTCTTTCGACTGTTTGTTGATGGGAGTTCCAACCGACAGGGAGCAGGGACAGGAGTAGTACTGGTATCTCCAGATGGGCAGATACTAGAATAGTCGATTCGTTTGGGGTTCAAGGCCTCAAACAATGAAGCAGAATATGAAGCAATCATTGCAGGACTGAAGCTAGCAGCAGCAGTACAAGCGGATGAGGTAATAGTCTTTTGTGACTCACAACTTATAGTTAACCAGACAACAGGCGAATTTGCTGCCCGAGATGAAAGGATGTCGGCCTATGCAAAGGAGGTCATCAGATTGGCAACCTTGTTTCAGAACTGTCGACTACTTTAGGTTAGCCGGGATGATAACACTCATGCCGATGCATTGGCCAACCTAGCTAGCACAGTACAACCTGGAAAAACGAGGACAATAATGGTTGACTACTTGTCAGGCTCGAGCATCGAACAACTGACCACAGAGCATGAAGCAATGTGTGTGGACATGGGACCAAGCTGGATGGATGCAATTGTTGCATTCATGAAAGAAAGAAAGCTGCCAGATGACCACAAGGAGGTACACAAGATCAGATTGAAGTCGGCAAGATTCAGTCCAACAGTAGAAGGACATTTCTACAGAAGATCTTTCACTGGACCCCTTTTAAGGTGTGTACACCCGTCACAGGTTGAAGATTTTTTATATAAAATACATGAAGGAATTTGTGGAAGCCACACCGGGGGCAGATCACTAGCCCATACGACCATTACCCAAGGGTGTTGGTGGCCCTACATGCAGAAAGATGCAGAGGCCTATGTCAAGAAGTGTGAAAAATGTCAAAGGTTTGCACCACTGATACACTAACCAGCAGCAGACCTGAACCCAGTATCCAGTCCTTGGCCATTTGCCCAATGGGCATAGATCTCGTTGGGCCACTGCCCCAAGCAACTGGACAAAGGAAGTACTTGCTGGTAGTAACAAATTACTTCACGAAATGGATAGAAGCTGAGCCCCTGGCCAAGATCCGAGATATGGACGTGAAGAACTTCATATGGAGAAATATCATTACTAGATTTGGGATTCCAAGAGCAATAGTTGCCGACAATGGAACACAATTTGACAGCAAGCTAATCAAAAGCTTCTGTGCAAAATTCAAGATGAAGAATTATTTTTCAACCCCAAGCATTCCTCAAAGCAATGGACAAGCAGAAGCATCCAACAAAGTTATCCTGGATGGAATAAAGAAGAGGCTGCAAGCAGTGAAAGGAAAATGGGTAGATGAACTGCCAAGTGTACTCTGGGCATATCGGACTACGCCGAGAAGATCAACAGGGGAATCCCCCTTTGCCATGGCTTATGGCGCAGAAGCTGTCATTCCACTGGAGGTCGGCATCCCAGGGATCAGAATCCAGGGAGTAGAGAATGGGACTAATGATGTACTCTTAGCCCGAGATCTGGATCTACTAGAAGAAAGAAGGGAAAGGGCTGCAATTCAGTTAGCAGCATACCAACAGCAGCTTGCCAGGGCTTACAATAAAAAAGTTAACCCAAGGGAGTTCCAAGTCGGTGACCTAGTCTTGAGAAAAGTCGTCGGCAACAAGAAGGATCCCAGGGAGGGCAAGCTTGGACCAAACTGGAAAGGACCCTACAGAATCACTTCGATATTGGGCAATGGGGCATATCAGATTGAAGATAATGAGGGCAAAGAGTTGCCAAGACCCTGAAATACTTGTAATCTGAAGTTTTTCTATCATTAGATTTTCCTTGTTTTTTGCTGACGTAATGAATAAAATTTTAGCAGAATTTTTCTATATTTATGACTGATAAGATACTTGCCGATGTTTCAAAAATACATGCATAATGAGAACCCAAGTGGAACTTAGGTTCACATTAGGGGGCCGAGAGAAGAAAAATGGTTTTAACACTTGTTGAGACTTGAGAAAAGTTTACAAGTTGAAGTTAAACTGAAATGATGTTTAACACTTGTTGAAACTTGTGAAAAGTTTACAAGTTGAAGTTAAACCAAAATGATGTTTAACACTTGTTGAAACTTATGAAAAGTTTACAAGTTGAAGTTAAACTGAGATTATGTTTAACACTTGTTGAAACTTGTGAAAAGTTTACAAGTTGAAGTTAAACCAAAATGATGTTTAACACTTGTTAAAACTTGTGAAAAGTTTACAAGTTGAAGTTAAACCGAGATTATGTTTAACACTTGTTGAAACTTATGAAAAATTTACAAGTTGAAGTTAAACTGAAATGATGTTTAACACTTGTTGAAACTTGTGAATAGTTTACAAGTTGAAGTTGAAACTTGAGAAAAGTTTACAAGTTGAAGTTAAACCGAGATGATATTTAACACTTGTTGAAACTTGAGAAAAGTTTATAAGTTGAAGTTAAACCGAGATGATGTTTAACACTTGTTGAAACTTGAGAAAAGTTTACAAGTTGAAGTTAGACTAAGGTTAAACACTTGTTGAAATTTTATGCAAAATTTACAAGTTGAAACTGAGGTCGCGCCAAGAAAGGTACTTGGGTACTTGCCGAAGTAAATCGTCAGTTCATATAACTGAGGTATGTCACCCCGAGAAGGTTGCACAAGATTGAAGTATATATTAAAGATATGCAAAATATTCTAAGTATGAAAGTCATACAAGAGCAATAAAGGAAAAACAAACATACAAGCATTCAAGAAAGAAGGAAATTGTATTCATAAGAAGGTATATCGGCCATACGAAGAGTTTACATTGTCTCAAAAACAAAGAAATACAAAAGGCGACAAACAAAGGAAAAAGACACCAAAATTAAGATTCTTCAGGCTCCTTAGCAAGCTAGGTCTGGACCTCGGAAGACTGTTGGGAGGACATCTCGGCCACCTTCTCGGCCGCAAGCTCAGCATCAATTTCTTGAAGAGTTTGATCAAGGCTCTTATCGGCAAGAGGCACGTCCAATGATGCCTGCTCAGGGGTAGCTTCCTTGGGCACCTCATCACCCTCCTCATCTTGAGTCAAGTCCAGGACCTGCTCATTTAAAGAAGGGGACTTGATCCTAGCAGTCTCCTTTGGTTTCCTCACCAAAGTCTCCTCTTCGGACTCAGATTCATTGGCGGATTGACTTGGAGTTGGAGGGAACGAAAGAGGAATAATTCCTAAGGGGAGAGTCCTCTGGGACTTCAAGCCTTTTTTGAAGAGACATCCAACCAAATGGTGAAACCCTTGTTGCATGCCTGCTTCACTTGCTTTTTATATTCTACCGTGACATCGGCCACCCCTTCGTTATAACCCTTTTCGTCGCCGGCCTTGACTTCGGCCTCTTTTGTGGCCAGGGCGTCTTGAAGTTCCTTCTGGGCCTGGCCATCTTTTCTTCGGCCTCTCTCTTTTCAGACTCAAGAACCTTTTTAATGGCCTCGGCGGATTTCGTTTTTTCTTTGGCGACATTTTGGGGCTTGATGGCAGCCTCGGCCTGGTCTTCCAACTTCTTCATTTTTTATTGTAAGCTTTTGTTGGCCTTTTGAAGACTGGCAACTTCTCTCTTCTTATCGGCCAGTTCTTTCCGGTTCTCAAAGGATTGTATTGAGAAGGAATGAGCATGCTGGATAGCCTGAAAGTGAACAAGACAAAAGTTATTAGAAAATTTTCTAAGTACAAGAAAGAAAGCAAAATGATCGAATAAAGACACTTACTTGGACAGAGCGCTAGAGCATCAGGGCATAGTTTTCATATTCACTCAGCTCGGTGTTCCGATCAAGATCGCCAGGAAGGAGGAGAGCAGTACTATGGGCAACGTTGACGTTTTTGTCATCAGCACTATCTTTAGCCCTAACTGGCTTATCCTCCAATGTGATTTGGGAGGCCCAGGGGCATTGTGCTTTCGAGACCCCAATGTGGTAGCAGAAGATGACCTCGACTTCTTTGATTTTGGGGATTCAGATGGTTGGGCCTCGGCTGACCTCTTTTCGGCAGCAGATGTGGTCTTCTCACTCTCAGCCAATTTTGAAATTGGCAAAGTATCTTCAGTGTCGACCTGAGTCACCTTTGCTTTTGGTTGAGCCTTCTTTATTCTTTTTGGCTTCGCAGGAGGCTGAGATTGCGCTGGTGAAGCGTCAATGGTTGATGGGATGCTGGCCAAGAGATCTTTGGCAACTGCTTTCTGGCAACCCATCCCGGCAGGAAAAACAGTTTGTCGCCGACGTTGGCGCTGGGATATTAGGATCAGATAAGGAGCCGAGGTTGACGACTGCTCGGCTGGATTAGAGGTCGATCCTTGATCTTACCGAGATGTGGAGGTAGTCTGAGGAGTTGTGGCAGAAAGAGGGGACAGACTCTTCTTCTTCTTCTTCTTGGAGACGTCGGGAAGAGCTGACTTATACATAGGAATGAAATTAAACGGGAGAGGGGCCTTCCGTTTGTGGACTGGCAGATCCAAAAGTTTCCTCAAGCCTTTGCTGGGAAAGAAAGACTGACGGAAGCCCTTGGGTGGCTGAGGAAGAGCTGCAAGAAAAATAGACGTTAGAAACAAATAGAGTATTGAAGACTTTGAAACAAACACGTAATATGGACACAGGGCTCTTACCATTGCCCTCTACAAAAACTGATCGAGGAAGATGGTAGAGATGGAGGTCCTCGTCTGAAGCGAATTCTTAGTTCCCTGAGGTAATGAAGTAATCGTCTTCAGCTCCCTTGTTGGAGTCTGGGAGGTCGGCTACGATTTTGTATTCTGTGGACCTCGACTTAAGGTAGTAAATATAGCCCGTATCTTTTTTGAGGCCACACATGGTGTAGCAATATTGGATGTCGGCTAAGGTAATCCTAGCATTTTCTTGTTTAGCTAAGGAAATTATACCGTTGATAACTCAATAGGAATTGATGGCAAGTTGCATAGGGTTCAACTTATAGTAATGAAGTATTTCACGAAAAAGGGTGTTTAATGGGAACCTAAGTCCACACTCGATAAAGGCCACTACAGGGAAGGGCATAGAATCAGTGATGGGCATGATAGAGTCGTCATCCCCTGCCAACCTCAGATGGACGTCAGCAGGGATGGAAAACTCTCGCCTAAGGTATTCTAATTTTGTCGGGGTGTCTACCCTATGCTTCCACATACCCATGATATCGACTTAACTGATGGGGTTAGATTTCAGAAGGGTGTGTTTCTAAAGGGTTTTATGGACCCCGGTGAAAGCTGGAAGATACACAGAATCTGTGGGGAATCGTTTCAATTTTCCTTAACAATTGTTTTGAGTTCTACAAACAAATCCCAAGCCTAGATCTATGGAAACGAAGATTGAAGGCACGAATCTGAAAAACAGAAAAGCAAGAAGGCGCTTCAGAATCAAGAACAAAGATGGACTATCAAGAACATTGTAAATACGAAGGGTAACAGGCCAGGAACAGTAGCAAAAGTGCAAGAAAAAATTGGCAAGCAATACGTACATTCAAGACGTGAGCAAGAGCAAAATCGTGGAATAATCACATTCAGCTATATGATGGCAACGAGTAATGAAGGGCATCAAAAACTGAAAATAGAAGAAACAGTAAACTCACCGAAGAGAGGAAGCCGGTGTTGAGTTCGCCGAAGTCCGACAAACGGCAGCTACAGAAAGGATTAGCAAGAACCTCGCTGGAGGAAGTGGACGAAGCGAATTGCAGAGCTTTAGAAGCTTGAACAATGGAGGGTTTGGAAGAAAAATCTAGAGAGATAAAGCTTCAGAGACGATGGAGAAAAGTGAGAAAATAAGGAAAGGGGGAAAAAGTTTTGTTAAAACTTGAAACGGCGGCAAAACAGAATTAATGCGCCTAAAACAACGTGTGCGTCAGACGGCGTACGCATACGTAAGACGATTTAGAAGCACGTACCAAGTACGATCCAGTAAGAGAAGGACACGTGGCTGAAACGGTTGAATTGTGATGCATGACAGCTTATACGCATGAAGAAGCTCTTGGAATTCTTGATCTTTAAGAAGACATGTCGGCCTATAGTGATGAGCTCGGCTTAAGCCGATGTACTGGTAGGAAGTACCGATATAGGTTCCATCACCTCAGAATGCCAAGGTAATAGAACCTAGGGGACAGTTGTGGGGATATATTTTCTGAGTCCCAACACGTGGCCAAGGTGACGCCGACGTGTCAGCCGAGGTGCCACGTGTCCAAGTCATGACGCCGAGGTGATCTCGGCAAGGCCGAGGTTATCTCCAAAGATATCAGAATCCGAGATATACTGGCAGGAAGTACCGATATAGGTTCCATCACCTCAGAATGTCGAGGTAATAGAACCTGGGGACAGTTGTGGGGATATATTTTCTGATTCCCAACACGTGGCCAAGGTGACGCAGATGTGTCAGCCGAGGTGCCACGTGTCCAAGTTATGACGCCGAGGTGATCTCGGTAAGGCCGAAGTTATCTCCGAAGATATCAGAATCCAAGATAAGCGGATAAGGCACAAGAGTCCTAGAATGAGGAAGGACTTTAGTGTGGATAAGGATAACACTCTCAGAGAGTTTATCTCTATCTATAGAAGAGTCCTGGATAAGTACTGAACGGAAGTCCATTGAAGCTAGGCTTCTATGGGGACTAGGAGTGAGGTAACTATAAAAGAAAGGCACCCCCGATGGGTCTAAGGTACGCAATTAATACTCAGAACAGTGAATTTAGCATTATTGATTATCTTTGAGAGATATACTGACTTGATCGTCGGAGTGCCCCTGGGTGGACGAACCACCGCCAAAATCTTCTCTTTCTGTTGCAGGTCAGCCATATATCATCTATTCTGCCAGTACTCTCTAGCTGATTACTGAGTTGGCAGTGTGGTCAGAAAATCACTCACACGATGACAATGGAAATGCAACAATATGCAGAAATTATCGAAAGAGTATAAATCGAAAATATGTTGCATCAGGGTAGGTAGCTTTCGGCTTTAAACCTTCCCTAGTGATAACCTATCAAACTTACTAGCTAACCAATGGATGCGATGCCTTGAATTGTTTAGCCGTTTGTGTAAGCTAAGACAATAAATTTCACACAAAATATCTTCTGACACATTGTGGTTCTTACGGTTGTGTTCATTTTGGCCTTGAGCGCTCCTGGTTGTTCATGAGTGTTTCTAGAGAATTTAGCCTCTTCATTCTCATAGAACCGGCCCCCAGTTCGACACTCATATAGGTGATTCTTATTGTGAGTATCTCTTATACTTGTCTTGATTTTTATGCCTAAATCAAGATATAAGTAATCATTAAAAGCAAAGCTTATCCTTAAACCCCTGCGTACAACACATCTTACAGATATTACTCTCACCATACGAATGGGGTAGGGAATTTTAATCCCTTGGTGATTTCTGGAATCTCCAGTCATTTAAGTAGGGTTACCATTATGATGACTCTTATGTAATAGACTTTAATCCCATCCCCTTTGATGAACTATACACTTGCTCTTTAGTCAAACCTTTTGTTAACGGATCCGCAATATTCTTTTTAGATTTTATATAATCTATTGAGATTATTCCATTTGAGAGCAATTGCCTTACGGTATTATATCGACGACGAATATGTTGTGACTTACCATTGTACATATGACTTTGTGCCCTGCCTATTGAAGAATATAACCTTTAAAGAAATGATGAATGCCATGTTACTAAGTTTAGGCTTACCGTCGAACTTGTGGAGTGAAGCAATATTGTCTGCTAATTATGTTCTTAACAGAATACCTCACAAGGAAACTACAGTACCCTATTCTCCACAGCAAAATGGAATTGCTGAAAGGAAGAATAGGATGCTGTAGCTTGGTGAATAATGCCATCTTGTGCGCAAAATTC